GGGATTAAAGGTGTGTTACACCATGCCTAACTAGAAAGGTTTATATTTTTTAAATGAGATCATTATGGCAAAATTTACAGATTTTTTTTTTTTAAATGAAGCTACCTACAGGCATAGTAGTTCAAATGAATCAGAGTTTTGGTAGAGAGCAAGCACAGGTCATAGGAAAGTTTGGAGTTTCCGCCAGAAATTCGGCCAGATAATCAAGCATCCCACACAATTCCACGGAACTACGAGGCCTTGCTGCTGTAACTACACATATCCAAAACTGTCAAAACTTTTAAAGAGATTAAATGTTCCTTTGTGAAATTTTCCCTTGGGGTGCTAAAGTGCATATAACTCGGGTCACCCCACCTTTTCTTTCATGCTATGTGTGTGGGGTGGGGTCTGGAGGGGTTGAGAAAGAGAGAGGATTCTCAGCGATCCACTTGCTCCACTCCCCGGGTGCCAGGATTAAAGATGTGCACCCACATTCCCTGCTTTGTCCCCGCTTTTTTTTTTTTTTTTTTTTTTCCGAGACAGGGTTTCTCTGTGTAACTTTGGAGCCTGTCCTGGAACTTGCTCTGTATCCCAGGCTGGTCTCGAACTCACAGAGATCCGCCTGCCTCCGAGTGTGTCCTTGCATTTTTAGCCTGGTTTTCCACACATTTCTGCTGTGGGATGGTCTGTATGTCAAATTGCTCTGATTGGTCAATAAATAAAACACTGATTGGCCAGTGGTCAGGCAGGAAGTAGGTGGGAGGAGAGAGGAGAGTTCTGGGAAGCAGAAGGCTGAGGCAGAGAGTCACTGCCAGCCGCTCCTATGACCAGCAGCATGTGAAGACACCGGTAAGCCACCAGCCACGTGGCAAGGTATAGATTTATGGAAATGGATTAATTTAAGCTATAAGAACAGTTAGCAAGAAGCCTGCCACGGCCATACAGTTTGTAAGCAATATAAGTCTCTGTGTTTACTTGGTTGGGTCTGAGCGGCTGTGGGACTGGCGGGTGACAGAGATTTGTCCTGACTGTGGGCAAGGCAGGAAAACTCTAGCTACACATTTCTCAGCTGCCAGTCTTGTTGTTCTTGGTATTCACTGTTGTTCTTTCTTTAGGAGTCAGTAGATTGGCAGTTTGTCAAAGGACCAACTTGTGACTCATGTATGCCATGCTTTCCCGGGTTCTTCAGTCAGGGAAGATTGAAAGGACTCTAAATGGGGACCAAATTTGCCTCTAGCTGCCCCAAAGTGGGAGTGGTCATTTGGATTGGCTTTGCTCATATTGGTGGTCACTGCACAGCGAGAGGAGTGGAATTTGAGGCATGAAAACCCTGTCACCGTTCCACAGGGCTTGTGAGTGCCCATTAAAGGCAAGTGGCTGGTGTTTCCCGAGGACCAAACAGAAGGAAAGCTTTCATTCTTGTTCAAATAACTTGTGTTCTTTCTTGGAGTATGCTCTGATCATTGGAGTGCGTAATTACATTGGTGTGGCAGTTTGAATGTAAGCTCATAAGCTCATAGGGAATCGCCCTATTAGGAGGTTGGGTATGGCCTTGTTAGAGGAAATGTGTCACTGTGGAGGTGGGCTTTGGGATTTCCTATGCCCAGGATATTGCCGAGGGTCCCAGTTGACTTCCTGTTGCCTGCAAGATGTAGGACTGTGGTAGAATGTTATTTTAAGGTGTGTTACTTTTGTTTATGTTGTATTAGTTTAATTCTGTGAAGCTGTGTTACTGTGGCTGTCTAATAAAGAGCTGAATGGCCAATAGCGAGCAGGGGAAATAGGCAGGGCTGGCAGGCAGAGAGAATAAATAGAAGGAGAAATCTGGGAGAGAAGAAAGTAGCAGCCAGAGAAGGAGGAGGACCCAGGGGCCAGCCACCCAGCTACACAGCAAGCCACAGAGTGAGAATAAGAGTAAGATTTATAGAAGAGAACAGAAAAAGCCCAGAGGCAAAAGGTAGACAGGATAATTTAAAGTTAAGGAAAGCTGGCAAGAAACAAGTCAAGCTAAGGCCAGGAATTCATAATTAAGAATAAGCCTCTGGGGGCTGGAGAGATGGCCAAGTGGTTAAGAGCACCAGCTGTTATCCCAGAGGACCCAGGTTCAATTCCCAGCATCCACATGGCAGCTCACAACTGTCTATAACTCCATTTCCAGGGGATCTCACACCTTCACACAGACATACATGAAGGAAAAACACCAATGCACATAAAATAAAATCATAAAAAAAAGAATATCCTCTGTGTGTGATTTATTTGGGAGCTTGGTGGTGGGCCCCCCAAAAGAGTAAAATCAAACAACAACATCCGACTCTTAGCTACTCCTCCATCACCATGTCTCCTGCAGTTCTCCACGCTCTCTGCATCAATGGCATTCATGGGCTGAACCTCTGAAACTGTGAGCTAGCCACCCCAATTAAATGTTTTCTTCATAAGAGTTGCCGTGGTCTTGGTGTCTCTTCACAGCAATAGACACCCCACTGAGACAACTGGCACATACAGATATGATACAGGATTAGGGCCGAGGAAACAGAAGCTCCTCACTTTACTCTGTTACGGGTTTACCGTGATTCTTTACATCTAAGGTTTTTTGTTTTGTTTTTTAACTGTTGGATTTTAGCCAAAAGACTGGGATATCATCAAAATGGTTTCTCACAAACTATCCACATCTTCTTTTTCCCTCTCAATCCAGGCTCTGAGGAAGTATGATTAGGCCCATTTTATTGGTGCAAGAAAAGTCCATATAAAATTACTAGATCTGGGTCTGCTGTTTTCTTCCATGGGGAGGGTACTCAGAGCAGCTGGTCTGAAGCAGGAGGAGGGCTCAGCCATGGAGGATGGTCAAGGTAGAGATAGCTCTAAACTGTGCCGGTCAACTGTAGCTTAGACTAGTTAAGCTAACAGAGCATTCGCAGTTTGAAAGAACAGGTAATGTGCATAAGGAAGGCAAG